TGAATTCTAAGTTTAGACAAAACTCGACACTAGATGTCAAAGTTCATTAAAAGAAAGGATGGTGTGCTCGAAAGTTTATTGAACGAATAAATCAATATGTATAGCAGGCTAATATAGTGGTTGAACCAACGAAATGAAGAATAAAATAATATTTATCGCTTCCTATGGCATGGATCGTATATATTATCATTAGGAGAAAAGAAGCTATGTATTGAAGATATATCTGGCAATAGAAATAAGTGTTTTCAGTACAACAATGTTAGAATAGTAATTCTAAATACAAGAATTCTCGAAATGACAAAATTTCAGAGCGCACATATCAGTTATAAAAAATGTTATAATTTTGATTTATTCATTCATTTGGTATTATTTTTTAAATAAATTATTTTAACACTCTAGCAATAAAGTCTTAAGTTATAACAGTCAGCACCTATGAGTTCCACATTTTGATTTCTCCTGGTGCTATACTAACAATTGTTTTAAAATAAAACGTATTTAGAGATTAAAATATGAAATGCAAAGTGTGACCATTTTTAAGAGTCATCTGTTACATTAGTAGTTTCTATATAAAGATCAAATGATTATTTTTTTAGAACGTTCTGATTATCAGTAAAATGAGAAAAAGCATTTTAAGACGACATCAACTTGTTTGATAAAGTGTGATAGTTAATCATGGTGAATATTTTGAAATTAATAATAATCATTATCATATTTATTCTTATTACTAGTCTTATTTTAGTATATTTATATGTACTAATATTTGTTGTCATTTTCAAATGAAATAGTGCCATTTAAAGCAAGAAAAAAAACTTTGATAGAGAGAATTGTTTTTCTAATATTCAATTTTGACTACAGGCAATTAAAATGAAATAACAACTTGACAAGATTGTATCCCGTTTTATTGAACACAATTCATATGTGAAACTAAGTTGAAAGAGAAAATAATAAATCCATCTGATTTGAAATTACTTTTTATTTCTTTTTTTTTGTAAGTTTGAATAGCACTTCCCCGTTTGTTTTTGACGATGAAACTGAGTCTCAGTTAATTATATGAAATGAAAATATTAGAGACATGGTGGAATCAATGACGCCATGGGATGTAAATGAACGTTACATTTCAAAATTATTAATTTCAAAATATTTCTTTATATCATTGTTATCACACTTAAAATCTAGTTATGGAATTCTGATTTCCTTATTTTGAATATTCTAGCTGTGCAGACGATTTCCATCAGATTGATTCTACTATTCTAGGTAGCCAAACAGCTATGGTTAAAAAAAGAAGACATTATGATTCACTAATGTTGACATATTAGATCTGAAAATGCAAATTATTAACGTCTATAATTACGTCCAATGGTTAATTATCTATGTTCCAATCCTTTGTGTGTTCTATGCAGTTTTGCAGAGATTATATAATTACAATGAAATTTTCAATTGAAGAAATATTCATAATAATTTATTGATGGTTTAATAGAAGACAATGTAACAAGTAAAAGTGAGTATATCATAGATGTAAATTTCAGAGTATTAAAATTTTTATTTCTTGAAAAAAATAATAAATGAATAGTTCCATCATCTGTTAATGGAAGAATTTTTTTTATTATTTCCTGTTATAACTTTAAAAGTAATAAAAATATAAAAGAAAAAGATCAAGTAAGCATTCAAGGTTTTTCTTTAGAGGACAATCAAATTTTTCTATCTACTTTCGAGGAAACATTTTTTGTTTATGATAAGAATTCCAGAGTTTGTTTTTGTTCATCTTTATTGATATTTATTTAGTATTCTTGCAAACATAAAAAAAGAAAATACATGATAAACAAAGAGAGAATAATTGAATTCCTTTGTAAAAGTAAGTTTATATTTTAATTTGAAAATTCAGTCAATAACTGTCACAATATTTTACTCGTGACCGATGTTCTTATGAAAATTGATAACACAGTGAGTGAAAACGAAATTCACAAGGATCAACTCATATTTTCAAATTTGAGCTTGAAATTTTGTCTGTATAAAGACCTCAAATGGATTTGCTAGTATAAAAAGTTTTCAGGGTGTTTTAAACAAAGTCTCTCACCGAGATACAAAGCTTTCAAAGGATACATGCTAATGTATGTCTCAGAACAAATGAACCTCTCAATATTTTATCAATATCATCGTCAATGTCCATGACTTCGACTTGAGTTTTTTAGTCAAAAGATTCCTCGTTCAATTCCGTACAAATGCATAGGAAACATTTCAGCGTAAAAAATCAACAGTCAAACTTTCCGAACTAAAGATACGCATATTAACATATTTCACAATATGATTTCGTCATTTTTCATCGTCTTAGCTGTTGAATGTCCAACATACAAACAAACATAATTGTCCATTTAGAACCTCTTGAAGAGATCTTTCTGAATATTAAATCATATTTCATTTGCAAACTTCAATTGGTGTGCAATCAGATATTTTCCTATACAAACATTTCGAAGACTTTAGTAAAAAAAAAAACATGTTACTTTGAAAAACTTCTGTATCTATGTGTTATACTAACTTTTTGTGTTCACATTTTGTCATTGTTTTCGAAAACAAATGGTTTGTTTGTCAAGTCTAGTTCGGATGAGAATATGAATTTCAGTAATTTCACTGCATTCTGTATGAAATTTCGTCATGTCTGTATCGTTGCATTTTTTCTTAGACAACTGTGACTAAAGATGAAGAGAAAGAGTATACATAAAAACATAGGAAAAATGAGACAAATGTGACTAGACGTATATCTAGTCTGAGAGGAAATAGGACTAGCTGTTAAAAGCAAATGCTGTTATAAAATCCATTATTTTGGTACTGTGCATTCGTCAGCACAGGATGTTTGGCTGTTAGTTTTTATACTGTAATATTTTATATGGTTTTGTAGAGAATTGAACAAAGAGTCTTTTAATAAAAATTTCGAATTGAACTTATGATTATTGACGATGATATTGATAAAATACTGAGTTTCATTTCTTCTGCAACATCAATTAGGATGTATTCTTTGAAAGCATCGTATCTCGATGAGAGATTTAGTACAAAAACCTTGACACTTTTTATGCCAACTAGTCTTGTGTAGCTCATTATGTGGACAAAATTTCAAGTAAAAATATGAAAAACTCGATAAATCTCCAGAGACAAGCTATCGGCACGAACTCTTTCTTGGATATTTATAGTTCATTAACCCTTTCGGGACTGGTGACGTTTTAAAACATCATTGGAATTTCACGTGATCTGACGAGTAGGAATTCGAATTTTTTTCGCGTCCCTTCGAAGTAAACGTTGCGACTGCTTCAGGACGATGAAGTGTTTCAAAAACATGTGAGGCTCAAGTCTTTTAAGTCTATACATTGCATTGATTATGGGCCTAATTCAGATGAGGCTAACTCTAATATTACTCAGTCTAAATGAGGCTCAAGTTTTTCAAATCTACTCGTTTCGTCGCTTATAATCACAATATATAAATAAACATATTAGAAATTTGAATCTTTGCTCTGAAATAATATTCTTCTGACAGAATGAAGCTAAACCTTCATGCGAATAAGTATCAAATTCATAATTTAGGTGTGGCTAAGCCTCTACATTCCGCTGCTTCTAGGCTGCGTTTTTTACACGCTCGTGTTATGATCCACATCTTCTTTAGAAGCGATCACAATGATTTTTCTTCATTATCTATATGATTATATGAATGAACTTACATTCATCTTCTTTTTTCTTATTGTCATTGCTCAAAATAAGCCGGTCCTGAAAGTATTAATAATCCTAACATTCGTATAACTTGTTCAATAGAAGATGATGACATTTTACACCGAACGGATAAAAATAATAGTGATCTTTTTCTTTAGTTTGTTACCTTTGCATGAGATTTGTTCATATCAATATTTCATTGTTAAATATGACATTTTTACTTGAACTATTCAATGTGAACAATGAGAGAGACATTTTGATGTCGAATTTTATCCATGAAATCATAATAAAAAGAAATATACGAACTATTTTTTGATTGGATACTTATTTGAGAAAAAAATCTTATTGAAATTCTATTCAAAATGAATCAAAATCGAATTGTTTCAATTTAATCATTTGTTCAGATGAGCATTTCTGAAAGACTGAACAATAATAGAAAGATTTTATTGTCTGAATCTTTTTCAGCAATTTTCGATGAATGCCATTCATGTTACCTTTTACCGCAAAATACATTGAAGTCCATTTCTAAATCATTTCACATATTATTCAAAGTTGATTTTCATCAATAAAATGTTCTATACCATAAAAGAACTCCATTATGAAGGTTTTTCTTGAGTCCGCTCATTATCAGTTGAGAAAAGTTTCACTTTTCATATAAATAATTCATTTTAGAAATAATGATTTAATTCTATTTAGATAAGTGTTTATTTTATGTTGATTTATCTTGAAAAATTTTTCATTATTATTATTATTATTATAGATTGATTAAATTATCGAATTAAGTTCTTCTTTTATCTAATCAGAGAATAAAGAATTAAAGAAAAAGAGATCTATAAAAACCGTTATGATATCGAACAAAGGAAGAACTTCATTTATGAGGAAAAAGCAAATCCTCAATTCTAGAATGAGTTTATCAGAGTATACGGAAACTCGTCTCAATTTATCTAACTCCATCAAAGGCCATTAAAAAACAGTGAAGTTCAACAAACTACAGTAATAGATACCCAATTCATAATGAGCTCAAATCAACAGAAGTAAGGCAGATTCTATTGGTTGTCGAAATTCTCTGAAATTGTGCACTCTGATTTTGACCTTGTTCATTAATTTCTTTGGATCGAAGTAGTTGTTGCGGTCTTTGAAATTCAATAAGATTGTCGTTTCTCTCATTCGATTAATTTCTATTAAAAAATTGGTAAAGAGAAATATTTGATAAAAGTTATTTGAAGGAAAAAATATGTATATATTGATGATATAATACTACGACAGACAAAAGCAGCGAACATAATGTAAAGTATAAATAAAGTTTTCTAATCAACAGTTTTATATCTAAGGTCAAGATTAGGTTTCTGCATTTCATAACTGAAACCAATTGTTGGTGTCATTTTAACTATTTCATTTAAAACACATTCAACAAATTGTGGTGGTGTTGATGCACCACCAATATCTGGAGTTTTTATTTTATGTTCTTGAATTGTATTTATAACAGCTTTTTTTTATAGTTGAACAATGTTGTTCCAATCTAAAAAGATTTTCTTTATTATATTAAATAAAAATATTTTATTATTTACCCTAAATATTTGAGCATATTTGCAGCAGCAAAACGAACTCCAGATGGATTTGCAATATTTTTTCCAGCAATTCCTACACCTTTATTTCTTGTACCTTGTTCAAAAATGGCATAATGATCTCCATAATTGGAACCAGCAACAAACCTGATCCACCAACAAGACCAGCACATACATTCGATACAAATGACCCCGCCGGATAAGAGTCAAAATCTGCCACCCTACAGAATTTAATCGAACTTATATATTCTGAAAGACCATTTTTTGACGCACATTTCCGCCTATTTTCTTTTGCCAAAAGGTCTAATTAGAGGCTGGCAAGAAATAGTTTTTTGAATGCTCCTAATATTCATTAAACTATCTTATATCACACTTCGGTCCATTACCAAAACATTTCGTTTTTCGTTTTTAAAATTTTGCTTCGAAGTTTATTGAATAGTGCCAATAGATTCGCCAAAATGTGCTCTACAAAATGGTATAAATTTATCAATTTTAAATTATTCTTGCTAAGAGTCATCAGACATATATATATATAAGATAATAGAGGAAAATTCACGATTATATGAGTATTTTCACAATATTTACTTCAAGTTTCATGTTGATTTTTCTATTAACATCCATTATGACAAAAATGGGATTATTATAGAAAAACTTCCTCGTGATTTGCTCTACAAAATGGTATAATTTTAACTAAAAAATAAATAGTCCCAAAATAGAATATTCGATGATTACATTTAAACATGGCCATTATTTTATATGTATACCAATACTTCTTTTAAATCAATATTAGATTTTATTTTAGTTATTCTAGTTCATATCCTAGAATTGATATTAGATTTATATTTAATAAGTAAAATGATGTTCATTAGGACTCTGTGCAGTAATTCTATATATGT